AAGTAGCGCCCGCGACTTGTAACACGGGTGTAGGTTTAAAAGGCCCGGTTCGAATGCATTAACACTCACCTTCACTACTTGCAGTTTCCCCCCAGGCCCAACTAAGACCGGGATAAACCCATTGCTAATATAATTCACTTTAATATCCAAAACACAACTGGCACGCTCTGCGCCCGTCGACTGAATGCTGCGGCTCACGCAACGAAAGAGGATTATTCAACTACCGACCTCCGTATTTATAGACCAAAGTCAGTGTAGTAGGTTGGTCTATAAATACTAGATGGCGCTATTTACAATATTCGTAATAATCCTTACATTGGGTACTTCATTAGTACTAAAAACAAACTACTGTCTTTTAATATATGTTTAAAATATCGAATTTTTTCTACAATAATGATGTGAATTCTAACATTTGTATATTCCTTTTATAATGTGGCATTAAATAATGTAATCATCCCTAAATTTTCATCCTTCTATCACCAGCCCCTATTATTTAATAGCGTTTTTAATTTATATGGCAAAACAACGTTTGTTAGTAATAATATAAATATACTTATATTTAAGTGTGACACAGTGTGACACAGATGTGAACCACTAGTCTAATGTATACGTCTATACAAATAATAAATAATGAAATCCCTGAGCAATTCACAACGCCATCTAGTCCCAGGTTAAGCAGAGCTTGTGTTATGGGTAATAGATAACTGATATAAATGCTTAGATACACTTTTTTTTTATAAATACATATATAATATACATAAAAAACACCCAGACACGAATAATCATACTCATGAATACAAATGTTAGTCCGTACGAGGAATCGAACCCGCGATCAACGAAAGTGAAGCGATGAGCTAAACCGCTAGACCGCCGAGGCCGTCAATTTATTTCTTAATTGTTGTGTTCTATAATTACAACGTTCACAATGTACTGTTTATTTTCTTGTGATGTAATACTCAGTACGTGACAATTGCGTTATGGCGGGTATCAAAATACAAAACGGTGTTTATTTACACTTTAGAAAGAAAGAAGAAGAAAGAAAGAAAAAAATATATATTCACTGCTTTTCAACAATGTTACAATTTAAAAATTTAAAAAACAAGCAACCGAAAAAAAAGTTTAAATAAAATGTATATCTAATTAAACTTAATTTACCATGTAGATAATTAAAAATAAACATAATATAATCACTTTTTACATACATATTTATTATATAATATAAACCTTCGTCTTGAATCACTCTATCTACTAAAACAAACCGCTTCAAAATCCGTTGCGTAGTTTTAAAGATTTAAGCATATATAAGGACGGACAGACAGCGAAAGCGACTTTGTTTTATACTATGCTATACATATAATGATAAAGCAAAACTTTGTACGATTTTTAACGAAAATTTCGCAGAAGTATTAAATTTCGCACATTTATAGTTTATTTGGAGATGGAGTGCAGAATACCAATAAATATTATTCAATTATGAAATAATTGCTTTAAAATTCATTAAATTAAAAAAAAACAATTATATTTTTTTCTTTAATAGTTATTGATGATTTAAATATCTTTTGTATTCTTTATTATGGACGAATTTCGACCACTGTGCGACCACTAATGTAGTAATATTTTAAGGGTAATAAACTATAATATTATAAAGACGAAGTTTGTGAGTTTGAGAGGGTGTTGGGTGATTTTGAAAATTCTTATAAATTTCAGATAGATTGTTTTCTTTTGGATGATAATGGAATGTTGCACCTGCGCTAACAGTTTACGCTGGTGGGGCACCAGTGGAGGTGGATAAGATGAACATGAGGTCAGGTCAGTTAGCCCATCGTGACAAATTCACCAGGAATTTATCAACAATCCCCTTCCCCCAGATCGATCGTTAATCCAGGAAGACTATAGGATATATAACATCACGCTACGACCAATAGGACGCTCCTATTGGTCGTAGCGTGATGTTATATCACACACACACACTGTCACACTTACCCTGTTTTTGTTAAACTTTTCATTACAACTCGCGGAGTTGTAATGAAAAGTTTAACAAAAACAGGGTAAGTGTGACGCAAGTTGCGCTGGTCTGCTAGTAAACTATAATGTTTTATTTGAATTATGTTCAAAATTAATGATGTATGAATAGTATAAAGAAATGATTTGTTATCATTATATTCGTTATTGTTATATATTAATGTCGTAACTTCCCTATTTATTGCAAGTTATTATTTTTAATTATCAAACATCCAAAAGTCATAATTTACCTCATTATAAAACTAATATAGATTTCATTGCTTCTCATTGCACTTAATAGATGTTGTACTACGTCTACCAATGTGCTCTACACACTTAATTACGCTTTAAACTATTAAACCTTTACGCTTTATATAATAAAAGTAATTTCAATTTGATCCATTTTTACGGACGGCTTCTGTGGTTTACCGGTTTATCACACAGCTTTACTTCCGATGGTCGCCTTTTCACACTGTACTAACATTAGTATTCATGAGTATGGCTGTTTGTATTGGTCTGGGTGTTTACTACATATATTATGTATGAATTTACAAAAAATATATCTAATTATAATTTCTAGTACCCATAACACAGGCTTTGTATAGCTTGGGACTAGATGGCGCTGTGTGGTCTATTTTTATAAACGGGCTCGGTGGACTAGCGGTATCGCACATCGCTTTACTTCCAACGATTGCGGGTTCGATTCTTGGCACGATATAAACTTTAATATTGTAGTTATTATTATCTTTTTTTCTTCTCTTCTTTCATTTGGTATAAAAGAAACACTCACTTATACGGGTCTTAGCCAAGTTATAATAATAATTATTATTTCAAGTAATCAACTTCACGCTTTATTAATTAGAAGTAATTTCAACACGTTAACAAATTTGGTGCATTTATATTCTCTCTTCCTGTTCAGCAATTTATTGTATTCATTGTACATTTTTATTGACTGATTTATTGTTTTCCTAAATCATCGCTTAATAAATAAAGGTTTACATTCATGTATGCGCATAGAGCAGTTATCGTAAATTCCACGGCTTACCTCGAGTGAAACCGTAAAATTCAATTACGGTCCGAGTTGCCAGTTATTTTATTAAACATGGGATATTTTGAGCAAATTAACGCGAACGAAATTAGTTATTAATCCAAATTTAAACACACATGGTCACATTAAGATTCAGTACACAATTTCTAATTGAAGAGGTGGTGGGAGGTGTCCTTAAGGGAAGAGTCGCCTAATAAAGGAATGTGTACGACGTTGGTCTGAGTCTAAGTTATTTGCAACTAGCTACTCGCCTTGGTTTCGCACGGGTGTACATGTATTATATATATAAACCTTCCTCTTGAATCACTCTATCTATTAAAAAACACAGGCTTCAAAATCCGTTGCGTAGTTTTAAAGATTTAAGTATACTTAGGGACAGACAGCGACAGCGACTTTGCTTTATACTATGTAATGATTATAGCATTTACACTTTCGCGGCATTACTCTTTTAACATACCATAGACTCCCAATACAATTCTATCTATACATCCCTGTAAAATCTTAAACTTGGGGATGTAAGGAAATCCTGCTCTTTGGTAGACGCGGGGTGCAACAAATAATGATTGAATCAATAGCGAGAACGCATACCGCAAATTGTGGATTTTTTGTTTATTTTTGGGTGAGAGTTTTTGAGTTTTTGAGTATACAAAACTGATTAGACAATCAACAACGGCAGAGGTTATACGCCCTGAACCAGTGACTTAAGGAGAGCGATGTGTAGTTGATGAAATCATTAAAATATCACCGAATACCGCCGTTATATAGGAACACTAGCAGACCCGGCATTGACCTCGGGCATTATCCAGATTAGGTATAATTAGCATGTATAATTGTGTATTTCGTTTATTTGAAATTATGTTTGTAATGGTTTTCTAAATTGCAAATTTGTATTGACAATTACAAATTATATTGTCATTCAATTTTCATATTTTATCATTTTTAATCCTGGATACAAAAAAATATTCTGGGTTACTTAAAATTTTAAATTTATAATTATTAATCTATAGGGATGCGTTCGTCATGTGTTAAATTGAAAAATATTGTAATATTGAGTATTAATTATAATAAATACTACATCGTCCGTAAAATCTGTACGTTGAATATGGTAATAGCAGTCACCCTTGGCCGAGAAGTGTGGCCCCTTGCCGCAATCGGTCTTATTCCTGGCAATAATTTCTCTCTGGCATAAAATGGGCCATAAATTTGGGTCTGAATAAACATGCACAAACTGGAAGTTTCTTTTAATCTTTATATATAAACACGTAATGTCACGTTGCTTGTCCGCGTTGGACTCCTAAACTACTGAACCAATTGCACATTGTGTGCAATTTGATCCAACTTGAAAGATAGGATAGCTTATATCTCAATTTATAGTCCCAATATTATTTTATTTAAGAACCTTAGCCACAGCAACACGTGACCGGGTCTGCTAGTGTTCCTATATATTTGGAACGAAACAAAGTTACGGCCTCCCCTCCGATCGATCCCCCGACCAATTCAAACGGGGATCGAAATTACGACGGCCTGAGCCGAGGTTCGAACCCCTAGAGGTGCCCTCAGACTAAAGTCGTATCCGTCAGGCAGGAGTTGGCCTTCAGCCGCTGCATAAGTCCTTCCGCGGGTTTGGAGTGCCATCTGCACTCGCCCCTAACGTCCGGTGAAGCTGTAAAGCCAACTACGGCCAACAGCATTAGAGTAGTCCGAAAAAAAAAAACTTACGGCCTATCTGAAGGTGATCGTCATTCTGGAGAACTAACACGTTTATTTTTTTATAGCATAGGTGGCAAACGACCCTGGTCTTATATAAAGAGGTCAAAGAGGAGAAATCCTCAATTCTTGAGGTTTCAATAGTTTAGGTTCGGAAATACAATTAAGGTGGTTTTAACAAAGAAATTATCATAACACATATAACATAACATATATTAAAATATTACAATTAATGTTTTACTAATCAAGGAAACCAACGCGTACTGAAGAAAAACGGATTCATTTCCATTACGGTCATTGGGTATTCGACCTCCGGGTAGTAAATGAAAGATTTCTTCGCATCACAATTACATCCTACGTCCAAATTGGCCAAACATGAGCATATTGGTGAAATTTTCTCGGGGCATGTTTTACAAACATTGGCTGTGTCTTTGAAGCAACTGCATGGTGGTTCTATACCACAGTTACAGAGTAAATTCGAAGTGGGTGTACAGAGACTTGGGCAGGTGACTACGCCGCTTATAGTTTCAGAGAAAGCACACGGGGGTGTAGACTGGTAGGTGCATGGTTCTCTATACGGGGCTAGGCAAGCTGCGTTGATATCCTGAAACAGAATGTCATTTTCTAAATACAGATGTGCGTACAGCATTCTTAGAGAATAACCTGTTTTTTTATTCTACATGGTCTACAAACTATTATTATTACAATTAATAAGATGATTAATAATAGGAGCCGACCTACAGTAACTTTCAATATTATGCCTGTTATATTATTTGTTTTATAATTAATAATAGTAATCATATGACAGGAGAATTCACACAACGCCATTGTGTACAAAAGCACTGCTTATGTTATGGGTATTAGACAACTGACATTAATAATTTTTTTTGTAAATGCTAACAAGTTGATTATATTAAAATTTTTATAGTTTTTTTTAAATAACTCGGTTGATACAATAATAAGTATAGTAGTATAGTAATATATACACCGCTCTGGCTTCGCTTGGGTGAACTTTATGAAATAGAAATACTATTTATTAACATAAACTCAAATCTAACTGACTTTTAAAGGAATATTGAATAAATCAGAAACTTACCGAATTATTCAATTAAATATTCTCAGCGTTCATTTATATGAATACAAGTTATTTGAAAGTATATCACAAAATCAACAAAAATCTATTTAGTTTAGTAAAGAAATAAAAAAGAAACTTCAAAAATTGTTGAAAGTCAATTAAAGAAAAACAGTTATTAGGTAAACACACACAGTATAAAGTCAGGGAATAAAGTTTGCAACTCTCCGGTGATGAAGACACCGAAAATTGCTAACTACAATCCATGACGATATTTATTTATTTCAATATATGTCTATTATCTGTTTTCTTGACATAATTATTAAACAGTTGCAAGAGATATAAATATAAGCTTAGTAAATACACGAGATAACCGACGCTTGATTGAAAAAGATATGACTCATAAAACTGATATAATAATGACTATAGAATATTTTATAAGGAAATAAATGTATACGTCATCAACATTATATTGATACCTTCACACAGTGAGTTGGTCATATAAATATTTATTGCAAGTTTTATAGTAGGGGGTACTTTATATGGTATCCCCAAGGGAACCTAATCACTTATTGGATAATGGCAACAATTTGACATTTTTCTTATTACTTTACTTTCAATTGTTCACTAAAAATTATCTTTAAATAAATTAAAAACATCTGTTAAATCATATTTATTGAGCAAAGCCTATTACTAACTAAACGATTACTTGAATGACAAAACTGAAGGAAAGGAATGGATGGGTTATTTATGCATGGGATTTTCATTTAATGTTAGATACTGTAAATAAATACACAATGGAAATAAACTGTCTCTTTGAAAAAATGAAATCAGTTGAGTCTCTTGTCAGTTTTTTTCAATTGAATCTGTATACTGAACTGGACGAGGAACTGTACAGTAGGAAAAAATAATTTAATTATATATTAATTACTTAAATTAATAACTCGACGTTCATAAGCGGTTAAAATCTAAATATATATAACTCAAAAGTAACTGACATAGTGATCTATCAACGCACAGCCCAAACCACTGAACGGATCGGGCTGAAATTTGGCATGCAGGTAGATGCTATGACGTAGGAATCCTCTAAGAAAGTATTTTGATAAATTCCACCCTAAGGGGACAAATTAACACGAGCGAAGCCGCGGGTAAAAGCTAGTGTCCTATATGAATAAATAATTTCTGATTTGATTTGAAAAATATGAGAACACCGTATTATAATGTGCTTAATTAACAAAAAGACTGCCTTATCGTCAATAACAACAGATCTATTTGCAGACACAGTAATATAAATACACGTTACCTTTGCAAAATAAACTGCAGTGACAATTAAAATGAAACGAAACATTATTATAGAAATAACTATTACACACTCTTACTAGGAAACAAGACAGGTGAAGAAGTGATATGTTCTCAAATAACATAAATATATATACGCATTTTATCGTAAAGAAAAACAAATAGTGAATATTGTGAAAGTGAAATGTTGTAATTCATTGTCAATAGGTCAGACGATATGAAAATTGGTATGGTCACACGTTCAATTCCATGATAAAATTGTAGCAGTATGTACTTGTACTTGCACAAGGTATCCATACTAATACTGTTGTTTTAAGTAGGTAATTCAAATTCAAATTCGAAATTCTTTATTAGGTAACACATTTTACAACTACATAATCTATACATCTATACATATAAATAAAATCGGAGCGACTATTTGTAATATTGATATAACCGTTTTTTTACATGCATATGAATATAATTACGGTACATACACCAAAATAACATTTTTTACAATTTTTGTCTGTCTGTCTGTTTGTTCCGGCTAATCTCTGAAATGGCTGGACCGATTTTGACGGGACTTTTATTGGCAAGCTAATGTAGTGAGTAGTAACTTAGGCTACCGTTAAAATTAAAATTCCACGAGGACGAAGTCGCGTGTACAGCTAGTAATAAATAAAACTAGTCATTGCAATAACGCCGTCCAGTCGCATAAGGTCCAATGGTTTACTAGTTCATTGAGAACTACAGATACAAAATAATTATATATAGCTCCTAAAGAATACAATCCACTCCCGTTTGAAGTCAGTTACTGAAGTTTTCATTATCTTCTCAAAGGAGAAGCTACTCTAACGCTAATAAGATTACAGTGAAATTAATTGAGGTAACGTTTGGTTAAGTGACGTTTTAATTTACATCATCTTTTCTATTTAGTAAACCCCTCTAGGCTATAACTCTCTTTGTGCAAATAGATGATAATTTCAACTCGGTAAATAACATATATATACACAAAACTGTATAACCAATGCGTTCTCTCAGTGATAACATACGCTTGCGAAACGTGGACTCTAACCGCCGACAGGGTCAATAAGCTACAAGTCACCCAAAGAGCAATGGAGCAACCTATGCTCGGTATCTCCCTACGAGACAGACTGCGGAATACTGAGATCAGAAGGCGCACTGGAGTTACCGACATCATCCAAAGAATCGCGCAGCTAAAGTGGCGTTGGGCTGGTCATGTATGCCGAAGCAAAGACAACAGATGGACATACAGATACACTTAATGTGGCGACCTAGGATGGGAAGCAGAAGCGTAGGCAGGCCAACTGCCAGATAGTCTGATGATATCAGGAAGACGGCAGGACCGATCTGGACAAGACACGTCACAGACAGACTGAAGTGGAAAATTATGCAAGAGGCATACGTCCAGCAGTGGACAAATATATGCTGAAAGAAGAAAAAGAAAGAATATATACACATCTTTACTAAAGTATTATAGTATGAGAAAGATAATAATTTTGATTAATTTCGACATGATGCCTACGGCTACCTTTTACTATCGCACCGTATTGTCAGAGGATTCATCCCAACACGCTGGAACCTAAGTGCTCTCGGACACTTGGATTGTGAAATTTACCTGTCAAGGTTTTCCCTAGAGACTACAGCATGGGGTTTTTCAAGAACGGTGCATTAAGGTTTCTTAATGATAGGCAACGAACACGTGTTTCAAGAGTCCATAAGCTACGGTAACCATTTACCATCATATGGATCATATGCTTGACTGCCATCGTGGTATAAAAAAAAGTAAACTCCAAAACTCGGGACGGTGCTCGATTGGTAAAATTCTTTCATTGTATGAAATGAGATATTATTTCTGAGTGACTAGGGGTACATATTTTTTGTCAGCAATGGCACTGATAAGAGAATATTTCATAGTAACGGGGCATAAGGACCCCATTGCTTTTAATGTGTCATGAAGCACGTCCTCCGCGCGGTCCCTGGCCTGACTTCATGCTTATAATTATTATCTTCTTCCAATAGAGCACTGACAGTATATAGTAGACTGTTTGCGCAGATATTTTTCATACCCCTAAGTAATAAGTGTTGTACATTTCTAACTTTATTTTACTCTTTGCACAATTATTTATCATTTCTTGGATTTTCATTGGATTTGAAAAATACATACAACTCTAAAGTTTCATCCTTCTATAACCAACCCCAATTTTTAATAGCGATTTTAATTTATATGGCCAAACGTTTTCGGGGTCAGCTAGTAGTATATATATATATATATATATATATATATTTTTAAATAGTACAATAATACAAAACATTGAGTCGCATTCACGGAGGTAGTGCCGTGGGAGATTATTTATTTATATATTACCTATATTTTCATTCGTTAAGCTATCGCGCTCGACTTTATTTGATACCGAAACTGTTTTGTTGGCCGAATAAAAGGATTGCTGTGGGTGTTTCTAAAGCGCCTGTCTAACTCTTTTGTGGCGTCAATCTCCTATACAAAGTTTCTCTGACCTCGTTCATTACAAGTTTAACTTTAAAAGGATTTAATAAAGTGCCTACTTAAATCATGTTTATTGTTACATTTTTGCGGAAATTTAATGCGAATATCAAAATTCTTTGCAGGTTTTTTTAATGCCTACTGACCTACATTCTTGTTATAGTAAAACAGATTAATTTGTATAAAAAAAACAGCCATGAGAATCATAATATTGTAAATACAATTCACTGACTCGCGGCGGTCTAGCTGTTTTACACTCTGACTACTTTGGTAGAGTTCGGATTCGAATCCTCGCACTGTACAAACATTTGTATTTATGAATATGAATTGTATTTGTCTGGATGTTTTCTGTGCATATAATTTAACTATTTTATTAGTTGTTTAGTATCCATAACACTGCTTAGCTTGAGACTAAATGACGCGCTATGCGAATTGTCTATTTATCTACTAGAATGAATTTAAGTTACTTTATTTACTTACATAATGCCAGTTAGAGTGACTTACTAGTGTTGAAACATTGACAAATATTCTTTTTATATACCGTGACAGAGATGACAGGGCATTGAGACGAACGAGCTTAAGAATAGTGACATGTTCTTTTGTTACAATAACCAATTTATCATACGTCACAACATTTTTTTTTATCCAGAAATATACATCGTAATAATAGGGAAATCATGACAGTTTGTCTTTATAGTTTATGGTAATTTTATATTCAACTAGTGACCACTCCCGGCTTTACACGGATGTATTACAAATCTTTGAATTTCTCGGCTTGTTATTTACTATAACACACATGTAGTATATATATATATATATATATATATATATATAAACCTTCCTCTTGAATCACTCTATCTATTGCTGATAACTGCATTAGAATCCGTTCCGTAACTTAAATGATATAACTGAACAAACAGCGGTGGCGATTTTTGTTAATACTATGTAGATATATTAAAATTCGTAATATTTGCAAGAAATCTACTTCAGGCGCCAAGTGGCTAGTTTTCTAAGTTGTTTCGGTTGAATAGCTATTGAATTGAAATTACAGGATACGAGTAAGAGGTATAACACCTTAGTCCTACGGTCCTACAGAATGGCAATGCATGAGCATTATCACGGGTGTTACATGATAGTGTAATATCTGTAGTACACACGTATATGAGCGACGGTTCCTACTTATCATCAGGTTGTATGTTTGCCATTCCAATTGCATTTTATTAAATACTAGCTGTTCCCGCGACTTCGTCCGCGTGGAATTTAACTTTATTGTTGTAAAATAAAAGTAGCCTATGTTACTCAGTATTACATCAGCTAGCTGCCAAAAAAATCCCGTGAAAATTAATCCAGCCATTTCAGAGATTAGCCGGAACAAACAGACAGACAGACAGACTGACAAAAATTGTAAAAAATTTTGATGTATGTATCGTATTTATATTGATTTATGAAAAGCCTAATACAATATCAATAAGTAACGTGGGATATTATATTTAAAAAGGTAAAGATCTGTCGCAAACTCTTAGCACATTTTCAGACAGGTATTTGTTATTGTATCAATTTTTAAAGTATTTTTTACAGCTTTAGCCATATCATTATATTTTGTTGTCACTCTTTCACTGTTACTGTTCCTGTTTACATTACAAGTAATTAGCATTTTTTATCCATTGTTTCATAAATCTCACACATACTCCTATAATATATAGTTCTAAATAAAACTGCATAGTTTCAGGTAATCGTGTTTATTTCAATTGAATAATTGTTTTTTTTTTTATTACTATTATGTAATGATCATAGAGCACAATATTTTTATTTAAAATATAGATTTGAAGCCATTTCTTTCCTACTGCTGAGTATGATATGTGGGATAATTTGTATGGGACGTTGATATCATTTTATATTCACTTTTATTATAATATATTATTTATATAAAAGTCGATACACTATAATTTTGTGACAAAAGATGAAAATAGTTGAGGTTCTGAGTTCGAGTATTTTTCAAATTAACAAAATATTTTAACTGTACATAATTACGTAAACTCAATAGGGTGTACTAAATTAATTACTAAATTTATAATGAAGGTACAATAATAATATGATTACTTATTTATTATACACATGTCATATTGTTTAACAGTGACTAATTATAAATAATTTAATAACGATGGAAAAATGACAATATCTCTTGACTCAATAAAAATTCCACTGAAGTATATGGAATTTTTGAATCATTAAATTGAATTATTATTTACATGTACCTAACCATTATTTACCATGTTTCATTTAAAAAAGAAAAGCTTCTTTTTCATTTGTTATTGTTACAGTTATAGGTCATTAAACTATGTTTAGATTTGGCAATATTTCGTCCATTGTTTACAATCAACGTCCCATACAAAAACAATATATTTATTATTTGTGAAACATACAATATTATTCTTAATAAATTGGCACCGAGAAGAATACAATATGAACATTTCTCTATACATTTAGTTTTGCAATTTTTTTTAAATATTAAACACTAGCATATTTTTACAGCTGCAATGAATTGCTGAATTATAAGGAAAGAATAAAGATACTGTTCAGATTTTTCCTGTTCTTACATCACAGACCGACTTTATCAATTCCAATAAAGCGACTCGCGATTTCCAATCAACTTTCTTATATTAGTAAATGAAATACGTAAAATCAGTCGTGCACAAAAATTTTGTTATATTTCAAGCTTCTTCACCATTTTCTATTGAAATTAAATAAAATAATGATTGTTATATTATATAACTTTACTCGCGAAATATTAAGAATTATAAGAAATTAATATTTATTTTTTTAATAATGTAACTTCGATACACTGAAAAAATAGTCATTAATAAAATATTCCAATAGAAAATTGTGATGAGAATTAATTTTAAAAATCTACAATTTACGCTAGATTTATGTTGCAAACATATATTAATACATAATTATTAGAAATTTATTTACAATAGTCCAAGTATCAAGAATAGTGTATCAATAATAAATTTGCCTCATTCAGTAAAGCTGTTAGGTACAACCCTATTTAGTAAAGGTACTTAATATTTGTAACATTTAAAAGTAGACTTTCACTAAGAATTCCAGAGGTTTCATTTCGTTTGCAATTCAAAATCACAGTCGAATTCTCAGAATAATGAAACCCCGGATTAAATCCTAAAGACGTGCAACTGTTATAAACACATGGTTATCCTTAAATCGTGTTTTATCAAAGCTGTTGTGGAAACAAATAACAGCAAATTTCTCGCTACGTCGAACACGGCTAGGATCGTAAACTTTTCAACGTCGTGAAATTTCACACGTGAACTTAATTACAGGAACTCCGTTAAAGTTGTTCAGGCATAACTCTGGGCATGTTCCAGTGGTATACTCGACAACTTATTCCCTTTTTCTACCCAATTCTTTAATCTACCTCTCAATTCTTCTAAACTTTTCGACTTAGCTTTATTTATACGCTTATATTTCACGTCTTTAGGTTTTGTGACATTTCTGTGATTAGACATGACTCGATTATATGTCACCACAGGATTAGATCGTTGTTCTGGCTCACCCTCGTCGCTTTCGGCGTTTGAAGTGACCTCTTCATCGGAATCGTTGGCAGGAGTCATTCTTTTTGGCACATAACTGTACGACCACATGTCTTTACCACTCTTAGCTTTGAGATCTTTATCACTATCTATACTTTTAACTTCAGCTGTAAGAACAACGCTTCGCATTCGGAAGTTGTCTCGCCGTTGAGCAAGAAGACTAGTTTCTTTATACTTCTCTTCATCGGTTTTATTGGCGTCTTTAATATCTTTTTCTGTGCTACTTTGAGCACTTAAGCCTTTAGTAGAATCACCGTCAGCCTCTTCTTCCACACTGTACACAGTTTCCAATATTTCTGGTCTTCGCAAGAAACCATTTGATCGCCTGACAATATTGTACTTTAAATTGGGATCTATAGCATCCGAAATTGATCTAACTATTGTCACACTATCTGGATTGGTAGATCTAAACCTTGGTATGTGGGGTAGATTGCTGCAATCAGAGTCTACATCTTCCATAATAACAGCAGAGTCTGAGTCGTTCAAAGAATCGAAATCACCAGTAATATGAGTATCTTGGAGCAGTTCTCTGAAATCTGGAATTGCCTGAGTTGTTTCAATACCATTATCTAGAAGCTTAGCTTGCAGGGACTCGATTACCTTCTGTTGCTTCATAATGATTGTTTCTCTCAAGGCTAACATATTTGTTATCTCCTTTTGCTTGCGGACCAGACGCGACTCGAAGAGTAAGAGTTGACTGGAGAGGGATTTCAGTTGCTCAGCTTTCTCTCGCTGCAAACGACAGACAAGCTCCTCTTGAGTGCGATGCGCTCGACGCCATGTTAAGAGCTGATGTGCCTGCGCTCGATATTTCATACGGAGATCTCTGTAAAGACACAAATTCTAGAATGTAACACTTTTTTTCTTTTTCTGCCACTTCTCACGGATCTGTTTATAATTTATGTATTTTGGATATAATTTCTAATTCAAAATGAATAGTGATCTTTAAATATACTTAAAAATTTTATATATAAACAGTCATCCAAATATTTTCAATCAAATATATTTTATATAGAGTCATATGCAACTTCGCCATTTCTGCTTCCAGGCAAATTGCTTTCCAGAGTTTTTAGTTTGAAACGGGAGATAAAATTCTGAAGTTACATGATATGAAGCAGCAATCAACCTTCATTCACGAATTTTTTTAGTTTATATATTATTTAAGAAGTTATCTAATATAAATTAGGTATCTATTTTGTGTAATGTTTAAACTGAAAATTATAGTGATTATATAACTAATACCTTATGGTTCTCCTGGCTTCGTCTAACGTGTGAGCCTCTAATGGGTCCGTGAGCGAAGCCGCCAGAGACACGTCGGGTTCCGTGGGACTATTCAGAGCCGACTCGCTTCGGCTGTGAACAAAGAATATATCGGTTATTAAATCTCCGGGTAATTTCCTGCCCACAACGAGGTAAAGCTTGAAAACAATTGAATATTGCGTTACTTAACTATGTGTAAATACGTTTTGGTGGATGAAACTTTTTATGACATTTTTATAAAAAAAATTCTAATATAAATATAGATTATTATGGTTTTTTTTTTATATTTTTGGTATTGATCAAGATTTGTAATCATATCATATTCTATTCTTATTTATATATGAAACTTTATGCAGGTGTTTGGATATCTGTGACATTCCTTTATTTACGTGTTCATTGCATTTTTTATATTATAATAATATAGAAATTATTTAGGATAAACTAGTTGCATTGTTATAATGAGTTTTTTTATAATGGAACTGGAATGGCAAACAAGTTGATGCTCCACGTGATGGTAATTGGTGACCGTCGCCTATATCTGTACATCAACAGCAATACGGACTATTAACACGTGACCCGCCTGATACCCTTCAAGAGGACTGCACTATACAATAGGTTAGACTGAGGCAGAAGACTGGCGTCTTATCACCTTTTCTTTTGTCATTATTTATTAACTCCATTACTCTTGAACTTCATTCCTCCTACCACATCTATGCAGACGACCTACAAATATATTCAAGCGTCTTTAGATAATATCAGCTCTGCTATAAATATAATTAATGAAGATTTAGTAAGACCAATCTTTCGGATTGATCGTTAATCCCTCAAAAACCCAGGCCATTAACATCGATGCTCTTGATTAGATTAGGAGTTCTATTCCACGCATTGTTTTTCACGGAGAACCTATAGACTTTAGTGAAAATGTTAAGAACTTGGGGATTCAATTTGACCAAACACTTTCTTGGTCGGCTCAAATTGCTGAACTCAGTAAAAAGATTTTTGGTAAAGCGGAATTATTGATGCGGCTACGTAACTTCTTGCCATTTAACACCAAAATTACGCTGGCATACACCTTGTTCCTTCATGTCCTAGATTACGCAGATACGTGTTATTTGAACCTCACCGATAGCCAATTGACCAAGCTTGAGCGCGTTCAAAATATTTGCATTAGGTTTATATTCGGATTACGTAAATATGACCGCGTATCATAATTCCGTTCTCAGCTCAAGTGGCTCCCAATTCATCTTCGTCGTGACTGGCACATTCTCTGTTTACTCTACTCTATCCTTTTTAATCCTGTTACTCCGCCTTATCTTAAAGAACGCTTTATAATTCTCGGTGAGGTGCAGAACTGTGGTTTGCGCAGTGCAAATAACCTTCGGCTGAAGACTCCCACTTATACATCTAGCTATTACACAAAATCCTTCACTATTCAGGCTGTGCGGCTGTGGAACTCAATTCCGCCCTCGATACGTAATGCTGTCATCAGGTTCTTTTAACAATTTAGTCAAATCCTACTTTCTGTCTTTGTAAATAGGTTTCCTTCTTCTACACTGTGTTATCTGTGACATTTTATCTAGTATGTTGTTTTTTTTTCTTGTATATATGTATAATATTTGATTATGTATAATTATTTAATGTATATTATATTACATATGAATTCGTATGTATAAATTTGTGTATTATATGTACTTAATTTCTTTAAACCCATTTCTGTGTATGTACGCTGATATATATTTTATTTACATAAGTGTCTACAATTTTATATTTCTACTAATGCGCCACCTACTTTATTTTTTGTACTATAACAATACTCTCTGTCCAAAGGTTGTCTGTAAGAGATTGCATTAGCGATCAGACCGCCTTTTGTACTTAGTTTTATTTTTTATGTTTTTAATTTTGTTCCTGTCCTTTAATGTTGGTGCAATAAAGTGTTATAAATAAAATAAAAAAACTTCAATAATTTTAATTCGGTATTCATTAAAGTCCTGTATAATGACAATACTTAATGGTCTCGGTAGTCTAGCGGTTTAGCACACCGCCTTACTATCGATGGTCGCGGGTTCCATTCCTCGCACGGTACAAACATTTTTATTCATGAGTATGACTGCTTGTATCAGTCTGGCTATTTTCCATTTACATTATATACTAGCTGTAACAACTTCATCCGTGTGGAATTTAACTTTATTTTTCTAAAATAAAAGGAGCCTAAGTTACTCCTTATTACATCAGCTACCTGCCAATAAAAGTCACGTCATAATCGGTGTAGCCATTTCAGAGATTAGCCGGAACAAACAGACAGACAAATTTTTTTTTTAATGTTGTTACGGTGTACGTAACGTATTTATATTCATATGTATGTAGTAAAAACGGTTATTTCAATAGTACAAACAGACACTCCAATTTTATTTAGATGTATAATTGTATTTATTTAAAAAAAAATCTATGTATTTGTCAGTTTTCTACCCATAATACAAGCTTGGGAACTAGACGACGCTGTATGTATTGTTCTGAGATATTAATTAACCTATATAATTATACTTTATTACAGTTGTAAGAAAAAATGATATGGCCAGCCTTAATTCAATTCTACAGAGGAATACCTTAACGAATTGCCTTATTAACTTTATCCCCGGAGACTCTGTTAAGCTCATGTAGTTTGCACAGAAAAAGGCCCACTTTGATCCCCTTAGCGTAATTGCGTCGTGGTCAGGTTACCACGATCCAATTTCGTCGAAAAATAGTTCTTTACCGTCCTACTCTAGTTGGCTAGATTTATTATAACCGCTTTATAATTACTACGGCAGATATTAAAACAAATTTATAATTAGAGGTGACCTGACTTCTGCTTTGAGCTAAAAGATTGCTAACTTAAGTTTGGTAAATACCATATTTACCATAAAATTATTCGTGTTAAAACACGATTGTCCATATTATGTGTACTAATATGAACTTCCTGCCGAGGTTTTCCCACGAGACTACAGCATGGGGTTTTTCAAGAAGGGTATATTAAGGTTTCTTAAGGGTCGGCAACGCGCATGTGACACCCCTGGTGTTTCAGGCGTTCATAGGCTACGGTAACCATTTACCATCAGATGGGCCGTATGCTTGATTGCCACCATCGTGGTATAAAAAAAAACTAAACACGAAAATTTTTGAAAATGAAAAAGAAAGAAAAGTAACTGAAGAGTACAGGAACAAAAGAAAACATAAACCAAAAGGATGTCACTACAAAGAAAGAGATAGATATTACATTAAAAAAAGTATAAATGTAAGAAATAGCCAGATAGATTAGCAAACACACTTTTGCCTTTGGTGTAAAGATAAAAGATAAAAAGTAAGTATTATATAAAATATATAATATGTATATAAAATATGACGCAATAAAGAAAGCAGTACATAATCGATCACCAGCATGAGTAACCGATTTATATAAATTGTTACATTTCCTAAAATATTATATTTTTCAGCACATTTAACAATGTATGGTGTTAATATTACCACCTTTTTGTCTTCAGTTTATATCTTACACAAAAATAAAGTTCTACTGTTAGGACTAAATTTATCAGAGATAAGGCAGGACGCAATGTTATTGCATCCTGCCGAGTATGATTCAAATATTAGGTATTCTGTAAAATGAGGGTATTTATAAAAATAAATCTTATTTCATTGTATATCAGTCAGATGACTGATAAGACTGACAGGAGATAAAAGGATTTGTATATCTTCTAGAATCATATATGTACCATTGCCGTTACTCCGTGCTAGGGTTGTGACAATCCGTTTAAAATCCGAGTTTTAGTAACTCGATTATTTTGTTTCAATTTATTTTACTGGATTTTTAAAATTGAGCTCCTTATCTATTTATTAAATAGGTTATGTTTGTTTGTTTGTAATACTTTATTGTACAATATTATTATAAATAAAAGGATACAATTGACTTAAAAAAAAAAATGCGATTCTTCCAGTCAACCTTTGAGTTACTGAGAGGAATTGTGGAGTGGTGGAAATAGGTACAATAAATAATACGCGTCACAATGCAAATGCATTGTATAAAAGATAAGCAAAACTATATAAATTAATTTAGTATAAATAATAAGAATATAACTTACGGATTTAATAAAATAATAAATAAAATAAAATAAATGTTATGTTTTCTTGTTATTTTCTTTTAGATCACCACTAGGTATTTTTTTGACATTAGTTAGTTTAATTATTGTGTGTGAAAAATAATAATTTATTAATCGATTCGATTACAACCATTTGTATTCTGCTAATTCTGACGATAAATAATCGATTACTTTTCGCATCCCTACTCTATACCCGCGAGCTATAATTTTACACTCATCTGTGCAGTTCCTGGATCGGCCGAGGGTTATGTGATTACAGTGCCTTTGAGTTACGGTAATCTTCGTGAACTTCATGTGATAGCATGACTGATATTAACTATGGGTACTGTACTGTACTGTACAGTATTATTATTGACGGCCTCGGTGGTCTAGCGGTAACACACCACCGTACTCCGAGGGTCGCGGGTTCGTTTCCTCGAAACATACATTTTTATTCATTAATATGATTTTGTATGGTCTAGATGTTTTCTCCGTATGTTATGAATGTATATATCTTTTAGTACCCATAAGACAAGTTCTACTTAGCTTAGAACTAGATGGCGCTATGTGAGTTGTCCCGAGATAATATTATTTTTATTATATTACAGTATGTACTATAAGTTGTTCACGCGACTTCGTGCGCGTACACATTTGTTGATCTATTGGTGTTATAAATAACAATCCATATGACGCCATCAATTCATCGTTGCCTTGCCTTTATCACATTATGTTCAACGTTCCATTTTCAAAATTAATATTTTTATTTTTATAATAATATTTAATAGACATGAGATCGCTAAAACAACATTTTTAGAATTTGACGATTTCCGCATTGCACAAGGTTTCATTATGTTATAGGTAAATTATTGTTAGAGACATCTTGTTTAGTTCAATTAATTATTAACAATAAGTTTGTCATGTAAGATAAGTAAAAACTGGGAATTTTATATTAAAAAAATCCCTTAGAAAATGGTGTCTAAGATT